AACTTTCTAGATTTGGTTCCTTAAACCACTGCAAGTTTGAAACCCTAACAAATCTGCGTGTGTTTTTATTTAATTTTTGTAAAACTCAAACTCTTCTGTGTTCACAGGGTCAAGTTTACCAATTGATGTGCCAAATGAAGCACATCAAGAAAAGATGTATTATGGTAAGAACATTAAGAAGAATTTTTTTTCTCTTTTTGTGAAGGAGATTAAAATTACTTTTTTTATTGCAGGACTGTCTCCAAATGAGATTGCTATCCAAAATGTCAAAGCATTTCTACAGACGCTGGATACTAAGATGAAGCAACAAGCTAAACGAGGTATGAATGAAACAAAATGTAATGCATTTCCTTAAGGATGAGACTGTAAATGTGGATGACAATACATGGCTGTTTAACACTTATGCTGATTTTTTTTTTTTAAATATTTAAAACTGAAATCTCATGAAAAGAATTGTCTTTTAAGTGTACCTGGAAACGAATGAAGTGGAGGTGAAAGATGATGCCAAGGAAATGTGGCACCCACCCGTTGTAGTAGTGCGTGCTCCTGCAGTGGCAGGCGACGAGGGCCACAACGCGACTGCAGCGGCAGGCGACGAGGGCCACAACGCGACTGCAGCGGCAGGCGACGAGGGCCACAACGCGACTGCAGCGGCAGGCGACGAGGGCCACAACGCTTATCACTATTTCTCAGGATCCAGACCCTGTATGCAAATTTTGTGTCCATTGAACCTGACTTAATAAAAACAATCCAGTACAATGGCCAGTTTTTTTTAAATACATTATAGTTATGGTACTGCGTTTGATGTGAAAATAAAAATCAAAGTAGGTAAGGATGTGATGTTGATGGATCAGTTAGCTTGGTCCAAGATCTCTTGGTAAGTGTCAACACAACTTCAACTTAATCATTCATCTCTCCCCATATATGTATTTTACCTTTCTGTTTCATCAAGACCTGGATGATTGAGAATCTTCACCTGCATGTGAATACAAAGGAACAAGAATTATCTAAAACTCTGTTTACATTTTCAAGGTGCAGACACTTATTACTTTAGGGCAAAACAATTCTAGAAAAGTAACGTTTTTCTCATGATTTGAAAATGCTATTTGCTATAAGATTTTTACACAGTATTAAAACACTAACAAGTCTGCATTTGTTACATGCACATGTCTGTTTTAGTATGTCAAATGTATTCTGTTAATGGATACCCTTTTTTTAAGTCAAATCATGTCTCATTTACAAAGACGACCTGGAATGCATGCACGGTAAGAATTTGGACAGTATTCTAACAATGTCCCAGTGAAGATTTCTTAGGAATATAGCAAAAATAATCATTGGATTTATAATTGTGCTCAATTTCGATGTTTAATCAGCGTCCATTTTCTTTTTCAGTCAATAACCACGAAGACTTTCTGGATCAGAGTGGTTCTAAATGAACCAATTCTTTTGAATATGAATCGAATCCCTCTACTTCAAAACTACATTAAATCAAGTTGATATTAATAAAACTCTGCTAATTTTACCCGAACTAAATATATCGTTATGATTTTTTTTAAATGAGAAAATACTTTCAAAAAAAGAACTGACGCCTTTCGGTTCAACCAAACCAAGTCTTGTATGTGATTCGGTAAAAAGAACCAAATCGGTCAGGACCATAATGAATGGAAATTTCCAGAAGCTCCTCCTTAGAAAAACCTCAGCAGCTGCTGCAGGCAGTCATTTTGTGTGACGACGGCAGAAGCTTCAACACTGAAGAAGACACAACGCTTTCGCCACTTCATAGTTTGGCTAGAAATCAACATATCTCATAACAGTTTAGCTCTTAATCTTAACTATCGCTTTTTTACGTGACTTTAAGTGATATTTTCCCCATATATCTCTTTTTTTGTCGCCTTTTCAGAAGAGTTTCGATCTACACGGCTGACCTGGTAAGCTAAGAAACTACCCTAACCGTCATATTCCTTAATTATTACCTTGGATATATTTGGATGCTTTAAGTATATTGTAAATGGTTTATTTTAGCTATTGATGATGTAGAATTTAAATGTAATTAGGCATCAAGGCTAGGCTAGGCGAAGTCAACGTAAGGCCTGGTCGTTCTAGAAATTTCCTGAACTTTGCAGTCTTTGTTACGTAACGCAGCTGCTCCCGCTAGGGGGCGCATGAGGAGTAATTACGTAACTTTGCTTAAACATAAAGTGCTAAAAATATTACTGCAGGTGAACAAATCTTTTATGTTAACATGATAAATTTAATACCAACAGTTTGTTTTTTTAACCCTGCAGCCTTAGGCAGTAAATCGAACAATGGCTTCTCAAGTGGACTCGCACTCTGACATGGCTCAGGCTCGTCAGACTGATGGGCTCAATGTGATCTTCGACCAGAAAAGCCCCGGGTCCTCCCACTCTCGTTCCCGTTCTCGCTCAATGAGCAGCAGCGCCAGCAGCAGCCGCTCCGGCAGATCCGACTACAGGGGACGTAGAGGCAGCAGGGGACGCTACAGGTCTTCCTCGTCCTCCTCTTCATCCGCATCTTCTAGGAGCACGTCCTCTTCCCGCTCCAGGTCTCGCTCGTACCCCCGCTGCCACCGGCAGTCCTCCCGCTGTCGCTGTGATGACCATCGCCGGTACAGCCGCTACAGTCACCGCCGCTCCCCACCTCGCCGCTACAGGGCCCGGTCTCGCTCCTACAGCCGCTCACCCTCGCTGGACAGATACTACAGTCATCGTAGGTACTACAGGTCACGCTCCAGATCTCGTTCCCGGTCTCCCGCACGCTGGAGCAGGTACAGGAGACCCATCAGCCAGTTGAGATGCAAATTCTCCCCATCCCCTTCCAGAACCTACAGAGGGCGGTCAAGATCTAGATCCCCCGGAAGATCAGTCAGTCTAAGCTTGCATGGTGAGTTAATCAATGATTTCTTTTGTTTTTTACTGATGACAGTATCACTTGCAGTGACAGCTCATAATAATAATACTGATTAATGTTTGTTTTAGACAAAAAGAAACTCCTTGAAGTTGCCCAGGCCAATGCTATGCGGATGCTTGGAGTGGCAAGACTTGAACTTCCTGAAAGTGTGAAACCAATCCTTTCAGAGGAACAAGAACCTAAAAGGTCTTCACCAGAACCAATGACAAGGTGGAAACAGGTCTCCACAAAGCCAGAGGTGGGTGTGTTGGTGTGCTTTGTCTCACAGCAACACCGCTGAAAACAGAAGGCTTTGAAACTTGGAACAGTATTTTATTTAAGATTTGTACACATGTATATGAAGTACTTAAAAAAATCCTTTGTAAAGCAATTTATAATTTCTAAGTTAGTGGTGAACATTTTAAGTTTTACACCAATGTATAGTTTTTAATATAAACATTTTAGGACTTTTTTCATATATATATATATATATAATCTCAGCAAACTAATTTTCTRCTGCTTAGCTTAAGGTTTGTGCTGTGTTGAATTTCCTGTTTTGTTTATCGTTTGGCCCCACGAGGGAACAAAGATACTCTCTGTATTTATTCCTGTCTTCATAGATAACTTGACAAGCTCTCCTTCACTCATCGGCACCTGGGATTAAAGGGCTGACTTGGGTGACAACAATATTTGTTTGCGTTTTTTCAAAAGGTTGTCTCATGATGCTAGTGCAATTAAGTCTTCATGTACACATTCCATACAGCTGGTAAATGCACATCTAGAATAATAATTTCAAAACCATTTTAGATTTTGCTGTTCAAATGTATTTATGCTTGCAGATGAAATGGGTTATTGTTATTTATCAGAGTCTGCCACTCGCTGATGGAGCTCGAGCGTGTGGACGGCATTATARTGACTATTGAAGAACTCTTCTCCGTATGCCAAAGATAAGTTGGTACACACAATGTGTGCTGAGGGGCTGGGTAACCTGCGTCGCCATCTTTTAACCAGTTTAGAAAAAGATGTTTACACTTGTGCTTTTTGTTTTTGTCCAACATTGAGGTCTGTCTTTCAAATTTAATTGTAGGAAAGTCTGCATGAAAGCAGCACTACTTTTTTTTATGCTGTAGTAAATCCAGTAACATTGAAGTCATTATGACTAGACTTCAGACTCTGAAGACTAAAGATAATTGACGTGTTTTTCACGCTTGAGTAACTTCGCATTTGTTTTCTTTCTTTGAAACAGGGCAATGAGCCAGAGCCTGATGGATCCAGCCCAAAAATGTCTCCCAAAATGAAAATCGCTTTCAGTGAGAATGTAAGTGTTCCATCTAGAAGTGTTAGTTGAAATCCAGTAACAAATTTTCAATGCAACTAATTATTTATTTTCTTAATTTCTTTTTAAGAACTCACTGGCCAAACCAACAGCGGTGTCACCGTCTTCTGCTAAGGTAACTCCAAGAGTGGACAGCGTTGAAAGCAGGAAGCCATATGGTCACTGGATCCCAGTCAGTTCAGGCCAAAACTCCAGTCTGCGCAAACACTCATAAACCATGCTACTTCAAAGTGGCACCGTGCATGGACGTTGTAAATACTGTAAATATTTTGTATATATTGTGATCATTTCATGGTCATTTTTTTTTCCAGATGTTAAGATTTAATTGGGAAGAAATGAAGAATTCGTTCAGGTGGGATAGTTTTTGTTTTAATTTATTGGTTCAATAAAGAAGTGTTCWAATAAACTGTCTGATTTATTGTTCCAAT